CCCCCCTGTGCCCCAGAGGATCATCCAAACCCTCCTGGAGCTCTGGCAGCCTTGGGGCCGTGCCCACTGCCCTGGGGAGCCTGGGCAGTGCCAACCACTGACGTTTCCCTGAGATCCAACCTGATGTGAGCCTGTAAGGAAGTTCAAGGCAACTCCTCAGTCCTTCAACCTTCCATGGAAGCGAGGAGCCCTCCTGGAAGGAGGTACCTCCTGGCCACTCTTCTCCCAGGCTGCTTCCAAAATCTTGGAAGAAAGTCCTCCTTCCAGAAAAGCTTCAAACTGTGTCTGAGAAGCAGCAAAGTGCCTGCTCTCCATTCCCAGCTATATTTAGTGAGGACATTATTTATGGAGATGGCAGGAAATAATTCATCTGGATCCAGACAGAACTCGAAATTGGAAAGAGGGGCTATAAAAAGAGAAAGCGAAAAAAAAAAAACCTGAAGGGGTGGGATGGTGGGGACTGGGTCAGACCCGGGTCATGGGGACCAAGAGAGCTGCCTTCCCTCACACAGCTGCTCTCAGAATCCCCTTTTTACCACAAAAAAGGTCATTCCTTGTATAAAAAACGTGGTTGAAGTAATAAATTATGTCCCTGAGTCCATCCAAGGGACAGTGGCAGGATCCTGGTGCTGGCAGAGGGAGGAGAGCACTGGGTCAGACTCAGCCATGGGGACCAAGAGAGCTGCCTTCCCTCACACAGCTGCTCTCAAAATCCCCTTTCTCCAAAAAGAAAGTCCTTCCAGGTACAAAAAAACATAATTTAAGGAACAACTTGTGTCCCTGAGTTCATCCAAGGGAGAGTGGTAGGATCCTGGTGCTGGCAAAGGGAGGAAAGCACTGGCTCAGATTGGGTCATGGGGACCAAGAGAGCTGCCTTCCCTCACACAGCTGCTCTCAAAATCCCCTTTTAACCACAAAAAAGTCATTCCATATATGAAAAACATGGTTGAAGCAATAAATTATGTTCCTGAGTCCATCCAAGGGAGAGTGGCAGGATCCTGGTGCTGGCAGGGGGAGGAAAACAACATCCTCCCTGCTGAAACCTTCATCCTGCTGGGTGTGTCTTCCCATCCAAAAGGGATTTTTCCACTGGAGGGAGAGGATAGGAAGCAAAAGAGCTCATTCCTGACAAGAATACACATATAAATACATGGATATGTAGGCTGGAAGGGATCAGCTCATCCCTTCACTGAAGGGGATCCCAGGAAATATTTGAGGAACATGGAAAACAGAAGTGAATTTTAATAATTTCCCTTTCCTTCCTCCCCAGCAGTTCATCAGGCTGATTCTAATTAAACTGCAGTTGGCTCTTCTGGGCCCACAGAGCCTTTAATTCAGGAGTTTAAGGGCTTGTTCCTCACCACCAGATTCCCTCCAAATCTGCCTCTCATGGACTCAAAGGCAACGTTTGGAGCAGAAGATGCATCAGGGTGAGATGTGCTGCTCCAGCAGAGCCAGGGAGGCAGCTCACTGCACGCCAGGAGCATTCCTGGAGCTGTCCAACACATCCCAGGATGCACCAAAGCTCATGGAAGTCTCCGGGTTAAATCCCATCATCTCCTCCACGTTTACTGAGCACCGGTAGGATTTAGGTCGAGATTTGCACCCTAAACCCCAAACCATCACCCCAGGGCACACCCAGCCCTAAAAATACACGGACCAGCAGCTACCAGAGCCTCTCTTCTGGGATTCCAGCCCCTTACCTATGGCACAACCAGAATTTCGGGAGCAGAGTCCATCCCAATCCACAAAAACCACAGAGGACGTTTCCCAGCTCCTCACGCTCCCAGGTTTGGCTTCTCCAGCCGAAGTTCCTCTGAAATCCCAGCGTAAACATCCCCGGAATGGGAGAGGGAGGAGGGGATCCCTCTGCAGGGCTCAGCGAAGAGTTAAAAATCCCGAGGATCCCTTGGCTCCCGCGGGAGCTCCTGGAGCGGGGCGGGCGGTGGTGGAGCTCTCCCGGCTCCGCATAATTCCTCCCCTGTTCCCAAGGGCTGCCGCGCTTCCCTGGCACAATGTCCGGGATTGTGTGGGGGTTAAACCGGCCCGCACAACGCCTGCATTCACAGCCAGCGAGCTCCATGGAAATCACATCCATGGAAATGATTCCTCTCCACGAAAACACCCTCCCAAGCCCCGCGCGTTGGGGGGCTGGCCATCCATTCCTGGGGATACAGAGGCTTCCCCGGCCGGGCTAAAAACCTTTCTAAAGGTGGAAAAAAAAGCTCTTCCTCGGAGGGGTTTCATTTTTCCAGGCCTTTTTTTTCATCCTTCCAAGCCACTCGTTCTGCCGGGGCAGCGCCAGGGGAAGGGCAGGGCAGAGCAGACGCTCCCAGCTCCAAAGCCAGCGATCCTTAATCCTCCCCCTCCCCACGAGCTGAGAGCCACCAAATAATCACCGGCCTTCCAAAGAGGCAGCCGGGGGCGGTGGAAGATCCTTCCCGACGCGTCCTGCCCCTGCTCCACCTCCCCAGGTTTTATCGGCCCCCAGTCCAGCCGGGAAGGGGCAGCTCCAGGCTTTGGGTTTCCCGATTCCAACCCGTTCCCTGATTAAACCTCCGACCGCGGTAAATATTAAGGCTGTTAGATAACGTTTGGGAGCTTGGCACGGGGAAGCAGGACGATCTCTGTGGCGTTTAACACGTCCAATCCTTCACTTCCAGGTTTTTTTGAGCCGGCAAAGGGAAGCCTCGTTGTTCCCGTGGCCTTGGAGGCTTCTCCCGACGCTTCCCACTCCCCCGGCCTTGCTGCAGAGCCCTCTGAGAACTGTCACTGCTCATTACATTGGTGATTTCTGGAGGTATTTATGGCCATCCCAAGGTTCTCCACAGCTGCAGGGGGGATGTCCAGCACTTTCTACTCCAGGAGTTGGCCTAAAACACGGCGTGGGGGTGCACAGAGGGATGAACCGTCACACCTTGTGACATACCTGCTGTTCCCAGACATGCAAAACTCCTCCTCTGTAGCTGCCCTGCTTCATTCCAGCTGAAATCGTGGGAAAAGGACTAAAAGCTCTGCAAGGAGTGAGCAAAACATGCCCCAGTGGCCCCAGTGTCACCGGGTGCTGGGTCACACACTCCGCCACGGCAGCAACATCTCACCCAGCGGGTACCACAAGTCACTGTGGTGACTTGGAAACAGCTTCCCGGAGTCACAAAGTGTTGGATCTGCCCCTGGAGCGATCATTCCCCAGGATTCCCACACCAGCAGAGCGCTGGCAGGGTCTCCCTGCTCCCAGCCATCCCTCCAGCCCCCACCCCGGAGCTGGAAGCACTCAGGCTCTTCAGGCTCATATCCAGGCATTCCCTAACTGCTCCTCACTCCACAGGGGACAGAGTTGGCCCCTGGGGACACCCCCTGCACCCCCAGTCCCCGGTGATCCCCCAGGATGGGGCAGGTCAGCACCAGACACAGAAGTGTCACCAGACACAGAAATCCTCTCTCCCCAAAACTCCCCCGTTTTGCTGAGCTGCCTCTTGGCTGCTAAAACCAACCCCTGTGTGCCCCCTCAGCCTCCTCCCTGAGCCATCTCTGCTCTGGCGACTCGAGGTTGGGTGAAAGGAGAACCATCATGTCCTCAATACCTACATTTTCTGCTTTATTAACAGAGCAAGTCATGCATAATGGAAAGGGGGGGGAAAGTGCATCCCCGCAGCACTCGAGTTCTTCTGGGTTCTTTGGCCAAGAAAACAAGCTGGGCAAGGCAGAGCTGAGGGACTGTGTGTCTTCCCAGGGATTTGAGGAGCTCTGCTCTCCCCCCATCCCACGGGGAAGCACAGAGAGGGGGGTGGTGGGCCCTGCCATGGCTCCATCCCTGACGTGCCCCTGAGCCTCAGGATTCCCAGTTTTTTGCCTCAGTTTCCCCTCAGGATCAGCTCTGTGAGCGGCTTTTTTCACCCCAGCTTTCCTGTTCACAGGGAGGTGAAGGATGGGACGTGCAGCCAGACATCATGGCACGTTAATTTGGATTTTTTGTGTGGCCTCAGAAGAAGCAAACGTGGCTCGTTTTGCATTTCCAGGCAGCAGAGCAGCTCCCAAGTGCAGCTGTGCTGCCGTGCCAGGCGCTGTGCCAGCACAGTGGCCCTTCCCTACACCTCCAGCAGTGGCACATCCCCGGAGAATCCACGGCAGCCTGGGCAGTGCCCATCGCCAGGGAGATCCGTGCCAGGGCTCAGGTCCTCCTGTGGGATGAGACACAACCTCCAGGGGAGGAACTGGAGAGGACTTGGAGCAGCAGAACCCAAAGGATGGGTCTGAGGGACCTGCAGAGCACCAAGTTCTCTGGGCAGGGCTGGGAAGAGGGGCAGGGCACGGGAAGGATGGATGGATGGACGTGGAAATGTGCCAAATTGGAGAAACCCCTTCCTTTCAGAGGGTCGACTCGCAGAAGGGACACAAAATCAGGCAAGAAATGGGTTAACCCGGCAAAAACCTCCCTGACTGCACCGTGGCAGAAGCAGAGCTGTGAGGAGCTTGGAATCTTCAGAAAAAAAGGACAAAAAACTCGCTCAAATCCCACAAACCTGTTTGTCCAAAGCGACAAGGACTGAGTCCTCCCCCCCGGGGTCCAGGGGGCCACCTTCAAACCCTGCCTTCCCAAAATGGCCCTGGTGCTCTGATCGGGCTCCTCGGGGGCTTCGGGCGGCCCCCGGGCTCGGCGTTTTTTTGGCAGAGCTCTGCCCAGACATTCTCCAGCCGACCTTCGGGAGTCAATGAAGACACGACGAATTCCCATGGAAGCGCTTTCCGACACGGAGCAGCCACACATGACTGACTTCACAACACTCCCCCTCCCCCCCTTCCCTCCGGCTCTCACCAGCCCTTCCCTCCTCGTCCTTAACCTAAATAAGGCGTCACATCGCGCAGGATGCGAAGGCAGCACCGCCGAACCAAAGTCTTACTACAAATCCCGTGTGTGACATCGATCCCGAGCTCGGGCCGCGGCCAGAGCTCCCTTTTCCTCTTCCCGAACAAGCCCTCTCCTATTCACCACAGCGATGCTATTCCAGAGCATCCAACAATATGTGCCTGTGTGTCGGGAAGGCAGCGAGCCCTGGCACTGCCAGCGCCGATACCCGCGCGACAGTCATTCACCAGCGAGCAGAGCCCCTCAGACATCTTCGATCGCGTCGAAATTACGCAAAATTAAGGGAAAAGAAGGGGGGGAGCTCGTCTGTAAAAGCGGGTGGGAAGCGAATCTCGGAGCGGCGGAGAGCAGGGGCTCGGGGGAGCGGGTGTCGCACCGAGCGTTTACTGGCGAATTCATGAAGTCTCCTCGGCCCCGAGTGTCAGAGCTCCCGGCAGCACCGCACCGGCCCCAGCCCCGCTTACATAAACCCCCCCGCCCCGGCCGGGGCACCGCCGGGGATGGGGCATCGACACAACCGGGAAATCACTGGGGCCGGGGCATCACCAGAACCGGGGCACCACTGGGGCTGGGGCATCGACACAACCGGGGCATCGCTGGGGCCGGGGCATCAACACAACCGGGGCACCACTGGGGCTGGGGCATCGACACAACCGGGGCATCGCTGGGGCCGGGGCATCAACACAACCGGGGCACCACTGGGGCTGGGGCATCGACACAACCGGGGCATCGCTGGGGCCAGA